AAAGGCTACATAGCCCCACAAATAGCAGTAAAAGCGTGAAAAACACCGCCGCAGCAAGGCAAAATTTTTAAGAAAATAAAATCAGAAGGGTCCCCCTATGAAATTTTCGGCCCCGGACGATTTCGGGGCAGGCGGCCCAAATCTTACGCTACGTCCGTGTGTTCACAATGAAGTTTCACAAAAACTTCAAATTTAATGTCGAAAATACAGGCTGGAAGGTAAGTCCTGTCGCCGAGATTTCGAAGGGCTGCCTAAAATTGCAGATAGCACATTTTGACATGCGATATGTCATTTGGTAGCCCTCGACCTAAATTCGTCCGGAGGAAGGTCCTGGGCCACTAAAATGATAGAGGATAGCGATACAGGCCCGAGAGTATTGGCGAGATCTGGGGAAAGTGTCTAGCAAGTATCTCGCATGGAGAAGATTTGCATGCGATACCCTGAGCGCCAATCGATAGATCTCGAGAGTAGATATCGATGGATGTTGAGATCATCAGGCCTGGACACTGATGGCCGAGAATAGGCCTCTGAAATTTGGCCCATTTCGTAGAACTTTTCTCGAAATCCCATACATTTTATCAAAATCCTCATGTGGTGTTCCAAAATCGAGCGGCAAGTTTTGCCTTGTTCTTGCCTGATGTATGGGATTTCGAGAAAAGTTCTAAGAAATGGGCCAAATTTCAGAGGCCTATATCTCGGCCATCCAGTGACCAATTTTGAAAATCTCAACATCCATCAATAGCTACTCCTCGAGATCTATCGATTGGCGCTTAAGGTATCACATGCAAAATTGTCTCGTGCAGAGATAACTTGCAAAAACACTTTTCCCCAATCTCGCCAAAACTTCCGGGCCTGTATCTCGACCCCATCATTTTAGTGGCTCAGGACCTTCCTCCGGAAGAAATTTAGGTCGAGGGCTACCAAATGACATATCGCATGTCAAAAATGATGCTATCTGCAATTTTAGGCAGCTCTTCGAAATCTCGGCGACAGGACTTACCTTCCAACCTGATAGGTGATTTTGTTGAATCTCTTATGCGTGCAGTCATCTCCAGGCCATTACGCACCTAATGACTTATCATACCTACCTTCAAATTCATCCCCTATCGAGATATCCTCCGGACAGACAGACGGAAGTGAATGCAAAGTGGCACACACACACACATAGACACACAAACACCATTTTTTATATTAAAAGCGATAAACTATATGAAGACTTGGCACACATGTATTTTTCAAGCAGAAGATAGCGTGCTGAGCTAAAATAACGATGGGTAGTGAACCACAACCTAACAAGAAAGCTTGAGGCGGAAAATGTAGCTATCCACCTAAACGGCCAGGCGATGGATTTTCGATATCAGAATGTTGCAAAACCTTCGAAAATGTCATAAGAGTCCACCGCTGTCGCGTAAGTCGCAGTTTTACTTCCCCAGCATCGAGCATGACTCGAAATTATGTGGTAAAAAATCAATTTAGTTCAAGTCTGCGCCGGTGGTTTCAAATTTTTCCGTGGTTGGTGCTACCTGGTCAGTGATCGAACCAGGGGCCCGACTCTTCAATTTCCAGGTTTTAACCGGATCAACGTACGATCTGGGGTCAGCCATTTCGACCTGTGCGTTAAAAGGAGCGTCGCTCGCCTCCATTCACTCCCACGCCGACAATGAATTCGTTTGGAGTAAGTTTTAAGTTTTATAAGTCAGAAGGCTTTATTAGCAACTTCGCATTATTAGATTTTATAATAAGTTTTTGTTAAATATTGTTTTGTCTCTAGGACTGACGTACGGACCCAAGGGAAAAGCCTTGTACAATGGCTGGAATTACCCGACAATCATGCTGGGCGGAGTGCAGTATGCCGGAGCCAAAGGTGCCAAATTTGTCATTTTTAGTGATAACAATTGTTTTATGGCGTCAGGACAACGTGAAAGAGTTTTAGGATCTACTGGGCCTGACGTGCAAGTGTAAAGCACTCTACAAATTATGTAGACAAAGTGAGAGTGCGAGCGACGGGGGTGCCGATTGTCGTAAGTCCGACTTATGCGTGCAGCACCGAGCCTAACAAGCTTACAGCAATTAGTAAAGTAGAGCCGGTACAGCCGGTACAGCCGGATAGAAAGAGTGGGCTGAGGGAGAGAGCGCAGACATTTTTCTCTGCTTCTCTCGCCCCTTTCCATACAATCTCGAAACGGCTGTACCGGCTGTACTTTACAAGCAGTCCACTAAATCAGTCGGCGTTCATATTTTCAAAAGCCATTTTGTCGAAGATTATTCCAAGGTCGGGATAAAAATTTTAATAAAGAGTAACAAACTCTGATAGGGTTTTATATAAATAATATGGTTTTCTAGCAGTTAATCCTAGCAAAAAAAGCAACAAAGAGTTTTTTAAATTGTATATACCCAAGAAATTAGCAGAATCACTGGGCTCCAACAATTTTAGATGCACTCTTACTTATACCAAGGAGAAGTGGGTAAATGGTACCGAGCCTCAGATGATATATCTAACGTCCCACAGATCCTCTGCAAGAAAGGATATCCGAAAAAAGTTTAAACGAGTTAGGGGAGGTTTTGTGTGAAGAATATTTTGATGAATAAAAACAATTTGGTTGCCCTGTAGTTACGCGCGATCGTAAGCTTGGATCTGGAAATCCAACTGTGCAAAATTTTTCTAAGAGTTTGCTCCCGAACGTCAGTTCAAATTTTTCACGCAAGCCAAAAATTTTAAATCACCAAGTCACCGGCCTGCCGAGCCTCTGAAGATTTTTCAAAAAGTCGTATGCCTATCTCGTGGATCTATGATGCTTTTCGTGCTGCTAATATTGTCTTTGCCCAGCAATCGCCCTACCTTTTCCACCTAGGACTGACCTACGGTTTGATGGGTGAGCTAAATGCGTACAACTGGTATCGTCCTTCAGTTTTGCTGGGCGGGATACAAGACAACCTCACGAGAGGTGCTTTTAAAACCTTATTTTTTCGTTTTGCTGTTAACTTTAGTCGTCGGACTGACGAATACGATTTCGAAACTGTCGGAATTTTTCGAACGTTGACATTTTTCCAGTTTCGGCAATTCGATTTCATAGCTTTCAATTGCTGGCATTTACTGGCTCGATGGCGGCGCCGTCAACTATACCCCGCCATGCAGGTTACATCAACGAAAGGCATCGGCATTACCGTGAGTCTGTTTCGGCATTTTTGCATGAAAAATTGCGAAATATTTAACCAACAACTGATGTATCAAATTCAGATGCACTCCTACATGAACAATGGAAAGATTGGACAGCGGCTCCAGTCGTCAAATGTTTTAAAAGATTTTCCAAAGATCGTCTGCAAAAAAAGCGTGGTT